CGGGCCGGGCCGGGCGCGGGAGCGGGCGGAGAGGTGAGCAGGCCCGGAGGGGCCGCCAGGTGGCGCCCGACGCCCCTCGGGACTGAGGCTCTGTGCGCAGGGACCTCGGGGCTGCGGGGAGGAGACTTTAGCAGCCCCCGCCGAAACGCCACCACATCACTTTCACCCCGCGTCTGCATTTATCTTGCACTCTGGGAGATATGATTTCGCGGAGGGTGAGAAACCCACGATGCTGCTCAACTCAAGCCCATGTGCTGGCGCTCGCCTGTCATACCAGCACTGGGGAGGCTGAGGCAGGAGGACCACAGAGTTCAAGGCCAGTCTGGGCTACATGGTGAGACTATGTCTCAAAAAAAGGCATTTCTGCGTCTCCTAACAGTCACATAACAGAAGGCTGCGGCCATGGAAAGGTGGCAAGTGCTTCAGCAGCGGGAGCAGTACAACCAAGGGCCAGAGAACACGTGGGCAGCACCGAGTGGGGGAAGCAAGGTGCACTCCAGCCGTGCACACACTGTGGGGGCAGCATGCTGGGAGCTGGGCTGGAGCCTTGGCCAGGCGAGGGGGAGTACCAGGGGGGTGGTGAACCGGGCCCGTGAGCCCCACACACAGACACACATCCAGGACTTAAGTTTGCATAAATTTTATTCCCGATGCGGGACAGATTTCTTCCATCCCCCAAATGAGTAACATGATGCCCTGGGAAGACCTCAGGAGCCCCCGAACTCCCAGCACTCCGGGAGGGGGAGAAGGCAGGCGCGGGTGGGTGGGAGGCTGCGTAGTCCCCGCCCCCTTCCCAGAGGAAGGCTGCTCCCTTCCTTCGCACACACCGATCCCTTAGAGAAAAAAAAAGAAGAAAAAACCCTCCAGTGTTGAGGGGGAGGGGAGGGAAGGGCCCCAGCCGAGACAGGAGCTTAGCGGCCACCGAGGGAAGGGGCGGCGGGGACAGCGGCGTCACTGTTTCTGCTGCAGAGCTTCCTTCCTCGCCGCGTCCTGCAGCAGCTGCGTGTCCACCTCGTCTGCCGGCAGCTGCACGTAGCGGACCACGGAGCCCCGGATGAAGCAGTTCTTCACGGACAGCTGGATGGACGGACAAACGTGCGAACCCCCTTACAGTGTCCTCTAAGCACCAGGGGTCCCCTGCTTCGCAAGTATTTCCCCCACAGACTCAACTCACCATGTGAGGGTATTTCTCAGGGTCCGTGACACTGATGTCAGTTAGCTTGATGTTGAGATACTAAGAAAAGCGAAGACGCCATCACTGACCCCAGAGAAGGATACGGGTACCCAATGCTTCATTTCCCCTCCTCCCCAGAATGAATTCTGAGCCCTCTGCGCCTCACCTGGTCCACAGAATGCAGGGTTCCACAGATGCTGTCAAGGACAAGGACAGGGAAGAACAGATTAGCTGACACTAGGTCAACACAGGTGACTTCCCAGCTAGGGCGGGAACGTGCCTGGAGGACAAGGCCCTGGGAACGCTGCAACAGGCAGAACCAAGAGGGACCCCGAGTCCTGGCGGGGCAGAGAGAGCTGCCAGGACGGTCTGTTATTTTATTTTATTTATTTATTTATTTTTCCCCGGGACCGGGAATCGAACTCACAACCTTGTGCTTGCCAGGCAGGCACTGTACCGCTGAGCTAAATCCCCAGCCCCCCGGTCTGTTATTTTAAACCCCACATCTTCCTTCGGAATACCAACTCCTTCTACTTTGTTTTGCTTCTATACAGGGTCTTATGTGGTCTAGCCCAGCCTCAAACTCCAGATCCTCCGCCTCAGCTTTCTGTTCTTTTTGTTCTTTCTTTTCTTTTTGTTCTTCTGTTCTTTTTGTTCTTTCTGTTCTTTTTGTTCTTTCTGTTCTTTTTATTCTCCAGTGCTGAGGATGGAACCCCAGGGCCTCTGCACAGAGCAACATCCTCAACCTTTTTTTTTAATTTTTGAGGCAGGGTCTCTTAAGTCACTAAGTGGCCTAGATTGAGCTTGAACTTGTGATCCTCCTGCCTCAGTCTCCCAGAGCGCTGGGATCACAGGTATGTGTCACCACTTGGCTCGTATTTGTAATCTTTTCAGCCACCTCTCCAAAGTAGCTATCACCACGCAGGGACTCACGAAGCTGTATAACCTGCCCAAGTGTAGAACGAATAAGCGGGCATCAATTCAGGTCTGACTCTGAGAACTCTCAGCTACTTTTAAACATTTATTGCTTTGGAACCAGAGCCCCTTGTGGAGATAAGGCAGCTAGCATTATTCTTGGGGGTGCAGGCACAAGCCACAGCCTCTCTGCAACAATGCTGAGAATGCTATGTAGACACCAGCACTCCCAGACATGCTGTCTGCCAGATTCCTTTCTAGCTGTCAATGGCTCGGACAATTTAAATGACACCTTTGAATTTGTTTGATTTTACTTCTTTCCTCTCCATGTTCCATGAATCCCCACTAATCTGCTGGGTTGAACACTTCTGTAATTCCTTTTCTAGTCAGACTTTCACAAGCCAAGGTATTATTACTGTGCATCTCAACTCAGACCACCCTGCCACCTGCCCCACAACTGTCCTGCAGGTTACGATCAGACAGCAAGACCTTGCCTCAAAACAAAAGGCTGGTCTCGAACTTGCAACGATCCTCCTGCCTCAGCCTCCCAAGTATTGGGATTACAGGCATATACCACCACGCTAGGCTATCTTTTTGAGACAGGGTCTTGCTTTGCAGTTCAGGCTGGGCTTGAGCTCACTTTGTAGCCCTGGCTGGTCTCAAACTTGCAAGAATCCTGCTGTCATAGCCTCCCGAGTGCTGGGATTACAAGTATGCGCCACCTCACTTGGCATAAAAGAAAGTTTTAAAAGGATAGGAATGTAGCTTAGTGATATAGCATTTGCCTAGCAGTAAGCACAAAGCACTGGGTTCAATCCCCAATACCAATAAAAAACAAAACAAAACCTACTTTAAATGATCACACTGAATAGTAGTTTCTAAAACGCCTTATCTTGCCAAAAGCTAGTTAGTAAATCTACGTTGGACCTTTTCTTTGTCTTTCTTCTCTTATACAGGAGATTGAAAACCCAGGGCCTCAAGCAGGCTAAGGAAGTGCACTACCACAGACATGCACCCCCTAGTCCTGGGTCCCAATTTGTAAATATTTGTAAAATTTTAAGTGTTTGAAGTCATGTGTCTGCCTCAGACCTACCTTCTGAGTGTTCTTACCCATCCCTGGCTGCTGAAACACCTGACAGCACTCTACCATCTGCAGCAGTGAAATAACTTTGAAGAACTGCAGGCCGGGTGTGGTGGTGCATGCCTGTAATCCCAGCACTCAGGAGGCTGAGGCAGGAGGATCGTTTCAAATTCAAGACCAGTGTGGGCTACAAAGTGAGTTCAAGGCCAGCCCGAACTACATAGGGAGACCCTGTCTCAAAAAGACCAAAAAAAAAAAAAAAAAAAGAACTGCATAGAGTAGTGTCATTTCATTCAGTTCCCAACAAGGATAAATTTGACACCAAAACCTCCATCCTACAATGTACAGGTAGGGGCTGGGGATACAGTTCAGCCGCAGAACGCCTGGATGGCAAGTGTGAGGTCCTGAGTTCGATTCCTGGTACACACACACACACACACACACACAGAAAATGTAGAGGTGGGTCAAGTCCCCCTCCTCATTCTCTGCCATGTCAATGTTTCCCTGGCAAGAAATAACCTCACACAGAAGTGCGGAAGGTACTGGTGAGAAAATACAATGATACAATCTTCCTAAAAGACAATCAGAGAAAAAAAAAGACAATCAGGCAGTAAAGGTATTTTAAATGTACATTTCAGCCAGGCATGATAATGCATGCCTGTAATCCCACCACTCAGGAGGCTGAGGCAGGAAGATTGCTGAGAATTTGAGGCCAGCCTGAACTACATAGTGAGACCCTGTCTCAAAAAGCAAAACATTAAAAAAAAAAAAAAAAGAAAGAAAGAAAGAAAGAAAGAAAGAAAGAAACAGTCGGGTATATACAAAGATGTATGGGTGTGGTTGTGCAGGTCCCCAGGGTCTTCACACTGAGCTGCATCCCTCCCCTTTTTTTATTTTAAACATAGGGTCTCGCTAAATCTTCTAAGCTGGGCTTGAACTTGCAATCCTCCTGCCTCAGTCTCACAAACTGCTGGGAAGAGAGGCACACGCTTTATATATTGCTCTGTATTTTATAATGCAGCATACAGTTCCCCAGCTAATCTTAAACTTTAATGCACAAGGCACTTATTTCTCTCTCCCAACGGGCCGGCGCTCGAACACTTGAGATTCCGGTTCACAGCCCCCGGCCACACCCCCCTCCACGCTCCCCAGAACAGCCACCTACCTCAGGTCATTCTTGAGTTCCACGACCACATCCTTGCCCACAAGGGACTTGAAAAAGGAGTAGAAGAGCTATTGGGCGAGAGGGAAAACCATCACGCGGGAAGGGACCGGACGCGGCAGAGAGGATTGGCCCCACCGCGCCCCCGCCCCGCCGGCGCGCCCTTGTGACGTCACGGTACCCACCATGGTGCCAGCGTCGCGCGCGGCGGCCGAGCGGGAAGGAAAGGGCCTGGGGGCGCTGCGGGCCGGAGGCCGGACCGAGACCGGAGCGCGAGCCCGCGCGTGGGGAGGGGCAGGCTCAAGCCGGCGCAGGGGAAACGCCGCGGAAAGCTCCCAAGCACCGACAGAAAGAGCGCGACGAACTCGTGGCTCGGAGAGCGCGGGTGGGGGAGACCAAAGGGGCCTGTGAAGCAGGGAAAGGGGCGGGGCTTCCTCCCCTACTTCCGCTTGGGGGGCGGCTTCCATTGCGCAGGCGCGGCCGAGCAGCTCCGGGTGGTTACATATGCAGGTTTTCAGACTTTGAGTTTTATTTTTTATTTTTAAATTTATTTTTTATTTTTTATTTTTTTCCAGTATCAGGAATCGAACTCACGACCTTGCGCTTGCCAGGCAGGCGCTGTGCCGCTGAGCTAAGTCCCCAGCCCTCAGTCTTTGAGTTTTAGCTAAAAGGTTGAGACGCTGTCCTGCAAGGTTTTTATTACTTTTTATGCCTGGGCCATGCATGCTGTTTTTTT